AGGGTGACAGGGGGCACCCCTGCCTAAGCCCCCGTTTTACCTCTGCAGGCTTGGATACCTGTTTTTCCCACTTTATAACTACCTTGTTACCTTTATAGATATCCTTTAAAAGATTAGTGACTACATCTTCTACGCCTAGTGTGTCCAGTATTCCCCACAATTCCTCTTGAACCACGCCATCGTACGCTCCCTTGATATCCACTGGGGTGATGGATGGATGGTAAGAACTTGGGCTAAGGCCGCCATTCCACGGCCTGTTAAAGAACTACTCAACACCGAAGCCGTACAAGATGGAAACGCATCGCGTGGCGTATCTCCGCTCAAGACCGGTCACAAATTTTCTCGGGGCGAGTGTAAGCAGGGAACGCAGCCAGGTGAAGGAGGCGCACGCCGCAGAGCCATCTTGTGAGCGAGGTGGAGCTTTGGGCTAAGGTGACCACCTCGCGGTGTGTTGATTCAGTTTCAGTTTAATTAGCAATGTTTTTCAACAAAAGTGTTAAAGGACAATGGTTGAGTTACAAAGATTTCATGTTTTCATACAATGGCAATGGTCAATACCACATAATGCAAATAAGATTAAAAAATGAAAAAAATGTAAGGACAGGAATTAAAAGCTGCTAAAAAGTTTTACGAGATTCCTGACCCTAAAGCAGTTTGGCCGCAGACACGTGGTCATATAGAAAAAAAATAAACACAAGCAAACTAACATACAAAGTTCAAGCAAGCAACATGCAGGCAAACAAAACATAAGCAAATTTAGTAGCAACTTATAACTCTAGATACAATGTGAAAATCGGCAACTGAAGAAAATAAAAAAAGAATGAAATGAGCCCAAATATATGCAACAAAATGCAAAACAATACTGCGTAAAAATGGTACGCATAACGAAATATAAGTACCTAACATAGTTCATCTTTTACATGTACATATAAAAAAGTGAAATGCACTTCTGATCAAACCGAACACAATCTCACATTGAAACTGATAACAGAGAAGTTGAACTTGAGTTTAATTGATCGCATTTGAAGACGCTGTATGGGGTTGCTAAGTATTCTTTCCACCGCTTGTTTGTCAACGCATCAGCCGCAATACCTTTGTTGTTTAGGTAATTTGAAAAATTTGGCATCATATATGCTTAAGACATTTAGAACCGTAACTTGTTCTCAAAAATGGTATACTCCATGTCTCTCTTTTTCTTATGTTCTCTAGGGCGTTGCAGATGACTCTTTTTGTTGACATAGTGTGAGAACATTGCTTTTATTTTTCAAGTGATGCTTGTGTTTAGCAAACCGATTGAACTCGTGCAGCTGCTCAAGTTATCTATTATTGTCGTTGCAACAAGCCCACCAATCCATGCTTTATAAGACCATGTTCCTGCTGGCCATAATAAAAAAAGGATCTTGCTCATTCACTGTATATCTTTCAGATAAACAAATTACCAAATAATATTACACGCAAAAATACAATGCTTTTCTGACTGTTGCTTTGCGTCTTAATTTTGGTGGTTTATCACTCCCGTTGTGGTGCCAAAAAGTATCGCTTTTCCTCTTACCACCGTGCTTGCCCACTTGAGCAGCTATTCTGTCAGTCCTCTCCTGCCGCACATGAGCAAGGTTGTTTTCCTTCCGCTGGTAGCGAAAAAAAAAAATCTTGTTTCTTCAACAGCAATAGTTCCGGCAGTGCCGCGGAAAGACCGAACAGAAAAAAAAGGGGCCTCCAGTGGGGCGAAAATATTTTCCGTTTCCCAGTAAATGAGATAGAGGTAAGCACATTTCTTACGCAGTTGTCAGGAAGTGGATGTTCCGGTAACGCTATCAAAAAAAGCGATGAGACCAAACAACGACTTTTAGTCGCACCACATTCGTCTGTCGTGTGTTGAGCGAATGCTCGCGGATCCGATGATGGAAATAGAGCTGTACATCTGGAAGAACAGAAAACGCAACTTTGAAAGCATGTTATCATGGCATACTTACCAGACAGAGTGGTTAGGTTATACGCGGCGACAACTTTTTTAGACACTGAAGGGAAAGCTACGGGGGCGGAGCTTCTGCACATGTAGTACTATACGCGACGTAGTCCAATTTGGCACGCGTATCGTATAACGCTGTGGAAAGTGACGGGGCCCGCCATCAGCGTTTTATGTAGACGCAGACGCTGTTTAGAGTTGGAACGAAGGAAGGAAGAAAAAAAGAAAGAAAGGAAAAAGAAAAAAGAGAAAGAAAAAAAGAAAGAAAGGAAAAAAAGGAAAGAAAGAAGGGAAGAAGGAAAGGAAAAACTTTATTTGCAAGGGTTTGGGACAGGAGTCATGATCTTGATGGGTGGGTCCCCAAGTCCAGGGCTCCACTGGCTGCGCCACCTGCCTGATGTGACGCAGAAGTGCAAGCTGCACCTCCAGACAGAGCTGGCGAGCTGTGCCTCCCATTGCTCCAAAGTACTACGAAGCTTGTACTGACCTAAAAAGGTATCTAAATTTGGTGGTCGTTTTAGGCATCCCCACGAAATGTGGTAGAGCGATGGCGAGCCGCCACACCACGGACAAGCACGCCCATACAGCGTTGGAAAAATTTTGTGTAATCTTTGAAGATTGGGAAAGACTCCCGTTTGAATTTGGCAGAGGTCAATCGCGTCCTCACCTTCTAATGATTGGAGTTAGAGGTACACGTAAAAAGGCGGGACTTTCTCGCGTGTTAAAGAACGCGATGTCACAATGATATAAAAGAAATACGAATACCCTACTGGTGTGAGATGCATCATCGCCATCAGCATACGCCCACTGCAGGGCAAAGGCCTCTCCCATGATTCGCCACACAACCAAGTCTTGAGTTTTCTGCTGCCATGTTACACCTGGAAACATTTAAATCTAATCAGTCCATCTAATTTTCTGTCTCCCTTTCGTGCGTTTGCCTTCTCGGAAAATCCAGTCAGTTACCCTTAATGACCGGCGGTTATCCTGCCCACGTGCTACGTGCCCAGCTCATGTCTATTTCTTCTCGATTTAAACTACGATACTTTTTACCTCGGTTTGTTCCTTGACCCACTCTGCTCTCTTCTTGTTTCTTAAGGTTACACCTATCATTTACCGCAGGTCACAGGATCGAATCCCGGCTGCGGCGGCTGCATTTCCGATGGAGGCGGAAATGTTGTAGGCCCATGTGCTCAGATTTTGATGCACGTTAAAGAACCCCAGGTGGTAGAAATTTTCGGAGCCCTCCACTACGGCGTCTCTCATAATCATACGGTGGTTTTGGGACGTTAAACCCCCCATCAATCAATTACACCTATTTTTACCTTTGCATCACTCGCTGCAGCGTCCTCAATTAAAGCTGAACCCTCTTTGTAAGCCTCCAGGTTTCTGCTGTGTACCTAAGTACCGGCAAGATGAAGCTGTTATACACCTTACTCTTGAGGGTTGGTAGTATATTACTATATTCACAATTTGAGAATGCTTGCCGAATGTGATCCACCCCATCCTTATTCTTCTAGTTATTTCTCTCGCGTGGTTTGGCTCCGCGCTTACTACCTGCCCTAAGTAGATATATTCCTTTACAACTTCAAGCGCCTGTCCACACAGTGCTGTTTCCGCTGTGGGCGTTCGTCTGGAGTTGTCCGTGGCATGCCCACGTGGAAGGTTTCCGGAGAAACCGATGCAGGCGCGCTCGGCGGCATGGCTACGGTGGGATAGGCACCGTGCAATCGAGCTTTCCGATCCGACTGCAGCGCCAGAACTCTATGCCTAGCGGATGAGAAAAGCAACATTGAGACGGGTCAGTAAAAAATAGAACGTGATTCGCGCGTCTTGCGCCATACATCACATGGCGGATTGCGGCCGTGATAGACGGGGGACGCGTGCGCACGTCTATTTTTTGCGTGACCCTAACGGTCAATGTCAGTGACATTGAGACGGGCATTGTAAGCAACGCCACTCCCTCTGGTCAGTGGACGGTGCCTATAGACGACGTCACTCACAACTCAGCCAATGGCGGGGATTCTTAGGTTCGACGCTGCGAATGACGTAACCAATAACACAGCCAATGAGACCACTCGTGACACCGCTGCCTCATGGTTTTCCGTTTCTGCTAGCCATAAACAGCTTTCGCTGTAACAAAAAAAAGTATATAAGCTACGCACATGCAAGCATTCTTAGTAACGGAGCGTGCGTAGTTTACGGCTACGGCCATTGGCTGCTAATCCCAATGGTGTGGGTTGAGTTTCGCACCACAGGTACCGTATTCGAATGGGGGCAAAAGTGAGAGGGCAGGTAGTAAAACTTAGTCCCGAAACTACCACTATTCTTGATATCATATCGCGATTATCGGCACGTAGATAAATCTTAGAGTTTAATAACTATTACTCATGGAAATATGAATTGACAATAGTTGAGCAGACGTGCATGTTCCAGCCAAGCATGGGCTGTTTCAAGATTCATTCCGGGCTGAGGGTGGAACTTCTTTCGGGGAAAAAAAAGAAGAAACTCGTGCGCGGGAGGGTAATTACTTTCGATGCATTATCAGTGCCTCAAAGCGCTTTCAGAATATTAAAGTGGAGCAAAAAGCGAAATGACAGACCCTTATATTTAGAGCAAATTCATGTGCCGATAAAGCGCTTCTTCACTGTTGTGCCTCTAAACGCATGCTTGCGCTTTGGCAGAGTCGTCGCAGGCGAGCGAACGTTATTTCCCTTTCATCCTCCAGGGTCCCGATTGACTTGCAGATTGGTGGAGACAGCGGCTTTGTGAACGCGCGTACTGCACGGGCGTTCCACGCGAGCGACGTCCAACCGTGTCTTAAAGAGCTCTGCAAAAACGATAAGGCGCTTGCGCCCGTTTCGCTGCCCCGAATGAGCGCACTAGCGAGTTCGTCAGTTCGCGCGACCTCACTCGCGACTCACCCCTTTTCGGTTTCGAACGAGAGGAAAAAGGCGCACGTGGTCGTGTCCGGTCGTTTCAACCACTCCGCCGCAACATGCTCGTCTGCGCGACGTTTCTGTACTGCGCCTTTACGATGTTGTTTCTGCTGGTCTCGACCACGGACGCGAACTCCGGGGACTTCGTGGTGACCAAGACAGCAGCCTTGCACGGCTTGACGCAAACACACATGGGCAAGACGGTGAAGGCGTACCTCGGCGTACCGTACGCCGAGCCCCCCGTGGGTCACCTGCGCTTCTCGAGGCCCGTGCGAGCCAAGCAGAAGGACCGGATGGTTCTCGCCAATGATTTTCAGCCGCCGTGCATGCAGCTCAACGGCGCTCTGCAAGACCTACCCTGGTTTCAGGTGGACGATGGTGTCAGCTCCGAAGATTGCCTTTACCTGAACGTTTGGACGCCGGAGTGCGGAGGGCCGGAAAAGAACGCTTCATGTCCTTTAAAACCCGTCCTTGTCTGGCTCCATGGAGGTGGATTCAGGGGTGGTTCCTCAACTATGGATGTATACAACGGCGGAACGCTGGCCGCATCGGGGGACATCGTAGTCGTGACGCTCAACTACAGACTGGGTGCGTTTGGCTTTCTAAGTCTCAACGTGTCGAACATTCCGGGTAATATGGGCCTCTATGACCAACACCTAGCACTGCGCTGGCTGCGAAGCAACGTGCAGTATTTCGGCGGCGACCCAAAAGAAATCGTTCTTGCAGGCCAGGATGCCGGGGCTACGTCAGTCGGCCTCCATCTTATTTCGCCGTTGAGTCGTCGGCTAATTAGACGTGCGGTTCTCATCGGCGGCGCTCCAAACTGGCTCGTCGACCCGCTGAGCACAGGTTCCAGCTACGTGAGGGCGCTCATGTTGACCAGTGCTCTGGCATGCAGTGATTCGTCTGTACGGACTGCTCCTGTGGTGGCTCGCTGCCTTAGAGACGCCAAGGCAAAGACCATAGCCAGAGCCGAAAGCGAGATATTCAAGCAAGCCTACTACACCTTCTGGCCCAGGGACCGAGACGAGTTGGTTCCCATGGATCCCGTCATGGCTGTTGCACGTGGGCACGTCCTACCGGTCGATGTCCTGGTCGGTGTGACCGCTGAATCTGGCTTCTCTCAGGGAATGGCTTTCCGGAGGGCGTTGTTTGACCCAAAAACTTCGTCTCCCGAAATGTCGAAGGAGTCCGCAACGCGGGTGTTGGAGGATGTCCTTTTTCTGTTCCCTAGGTCGGCTAGAGACGAAGTCGCCCGATTTTACTTAGAGAACAGCACCGACGGTCGTTCTGGTTCTGTCAGAGCTGCTTTAGCTCAGGCTCTGGGCGACGTCTTCATCAACTGTCCGGCGGTGTTTTTTGCTGAGTCCTATGGAGACAGGCCCATGAAGTCTTTCTTTTATAAGTTCAGCCACAGGCCAACGTTCAGTCGCTGGCCCGCGTGGTTCGGGAGCACTCATTTTGATGATGTTCCATTTTTGTTCGGAGTACCATTGAGGCATCCCAACAAGTTTTCTTCCAAGGACGTGGCCGTCAGCAGGCTGATGGTGGAAACGTTGACATCGTTCGTTAAGACTGGGTAAGTTGGCTGTGCCATTTGTCTGTCTGTCATTGCAATGACAATGCGCTATTCATCAAATTTAAAGTAGATGGAAACATAGTTTTTCTTTTCCTGTGTCAGAAAATAACTTAATTGAAGTCGTACCAGGAGCTCAAGTGAAAACTTTCCATAATAAAGAAAAAACACATCGAGATGTAAGTCAGTGTAAATATACGTATCTGGTACCCACGACTTCATGAACTGTTCACAAGAAGTATGCTTAAAATAAGAAAGCCGAGCTACAGTTGGTACGTGTTCATTATAATTCGTTGTCGTTTCAGAATGCTGGGCCCCCTTTTATTTTTGTTATATATAAATGACCTACCAAATCGCGTTACGGTCCCGATAAGGTTGTTTGCCGATGACTGTGTTGTTTATAGCAGAATCGAGACTGAACATGACCAAGTTAATCTAAACAACAATCTTCAAAGAATAAAGGATTGGTGCGAAGAATGGCAAATGAGTTTGAACACAGAAAAAACAGTCTTTATGACTATAACTAGAAAGAAAGCACCTCTAGATTACAACTACCAGATTGGCAATGCTTTCCTCAAGCGTGTACAAAACTATAAATATCTTGGGTTATGGTTCACGCCCGACCTCCGGTGGAACACTCATATTGATAATGTATGCTCCAGGGCTACCAAGGCATTGTATAGCCTTAGACGTAACCTTTATACCGCCCCATCTGATATAAAGTGTCTTGCTTACAAAACTCTTGTCAGACCTATTATCGAATATTCTAAAATTGTCTGGGACCCTTACACAAAGACAAACTGCAATAAAATAACAAAAATACAGCGACTTGGTGCGAGATTTATTTTTAATAAATATCGCCGACATCATTCTCCTACTGAACTCTGTAAAAAAGCTGGACTGGATAGTCCTGAACTTAGGACAAGGATTGAGCGTCTGAAATTCCTCTTCCAGTTAATTCATAATCATTTTAAACTAAACTATTCAGATTACTTCCAGGTCAACACACAAGAACACTCCAGACATCGCCATAATATGTATATACCACCCCTAGTCCCACGTAACGATTGCTTTAAGTTCAGTTACTTTCCACGTGCTATTGAAGATTGGAATATGCTGCCAGAGTCTATAATTGGTTGTTCCTCGCTTACATCATTTGAACAGAATCTAAAACGTTTATTTTCCGAATAACAGTGACATATGTTTTTTTTTTTGCGTGTGTGTGTACTTTTTGTTGGTTGCATGATTCTGCAGTAGTTGTCTTTCAAATCATCAGCGCGGTGCAAAAGTGCCGCCTCAAATGCGTCATGTGCTGTTCTGCGCGTATGTATTGCATTGCATGTGTGTTCCATTTATGTATGTTATGTATAACTTCGAGTTGCTGGTCACAATAATACCGAGAAATTATCTCGAGACCTGTACGGTGCTTCTTTTTTGCAAATAATTGTTTGTACTTCCACCCTGTAACGGCCCACTTCTGGGCTAACAGTATAAATAAATGAAATGAAATGAAATGAACAAGTATGCTTTATAATCAGCTAATTTTGTATACGCTTCAACACCTTCACTTAAAGCACTACATAAAGTATGTTCTGTGGGGTACCTGTGCTTCAGTAATTTTTAGAAATACGGCTTCAAAATGAATAATGCTATGTTCTAGCTAACGTGCACTCATGAGGATGTACTAGTATAGCTCTGCGCTCCGACATGAGAGGGTTACTTGAAATCGCTCTGAGGGTCTTTGTTCTTATATAGGGCATGACAAAACCTGTAATGATAAGAAATATGATGACGAGCAGAAACTGATGCCCTCAAAACAGCGATGTCTAATACGATAGCAAAGAAGTGGCTGGAAGCAGGAAGATCTGAGGTACATAGAAATAGATGCGTCACCTGTAGCATCTGCTTATCTAAGAAGGCTTTGACTTACGATTCACTATGCATTTCTAAAAAAAATAAATAAAAAGACGAGTGTTATTTTTTTTACTTAATTATGCCAACGACACTGACAGATTTATGTGTCATTTTTAATATTCGTCCAACAACCAAAGATCAAGTTATTCGTTCAAAATTGAAAAGCAAAACAATTCTTGCTTCAAACGCAGTTGAACATTACAAATCTAAGTGCTGGTATTTTACAAGCTATTTGTTAGTATTTAACGATATGCTGACGTTAGCATTTTTTTTTTACCTCGTAGCGTACCGAGACCTAGCGAGGACGTCGACTGGCCTCTGTTCACCTCGACAACACCCGACTACTTAGAAGTGGAATCGGGTGACATTTCAAGAAAACAGGACCCATTTCCTCGGTGTGACTTTTGGAGGAGGTATTACCCAAGAAGTATATAGGCTGTGCTGTGCCTACGCAATGTTTTACGATACACTTTGGAAAAAAGAAGCACTCACGGGATGAACATTATATACCATTTCATCAGTTCTGGGCACCGTTCTATTCGGTGTACTTGGCAGAGCATCGGGAATGAGCACGCTCTCTTAAAATCCTGCTATATTAGTTTCGGTTGCTGATGTTTCAAGCGTGGTGTTGTCCTCCGTAACAGTGCTATGCACAGTGGCAACGGGCAGTGCCAGGACGCCACGTATCCCGAAGAGGTGAGAGCGTGGATATGCTCCGAATACCTGAAGACGCAACGAAGGGCCATCCAGCGGCTTGAGGAGGCTTTGGCGAAGCAACGGAGAAAAGGAGCCGACGAACCGTCTAACGGGCGCGGAGGCACCCGAGTAACTGTCGTCTAGTCGGAGCACAACATCCTCGAGGTCTAGGCTGTGAGATTATCGGACTCTAATAGCCGTAATCTTAAGATAGGGAACATCCGCGCCCTGCGAGGCCGGGGACTTCCTACACGCCGGATGTATAAATAAATAAATAAATAAATAAATAAATAAATAAATAAAGAAATAAATAAAAAAATAAATATATATATATATATATATATATATATATATATATATATATATATATATATATATATATATATATATATATATATATATATATATATATATCTTTGTACACTGTACAGCCAGCTTCCTGTCCAAGTTGTGAAAATGGTCGCATGGGCGAAGGATAAAGCTTCTTAGAAGATTCACATAAAATTGTGAAATTCGGCTGGGAAAAAGATGCGACGGTCCTCAACCTGCAAGCATGTGGTCCTAGGAACTGGACGCTTAAAGATATTGGTGTTCCTTTAGGGTCCTTGGCAATCAGAACGAGAGTTCTAGCGATTGGTCACTGCTATTCTGCGTGCCACACAGAATCTGGTAAAAACTTGGGGACACACCCTTACATTTCATGCGATACTCAGGCGGAAAGGTTGCTGGCTATGTACGTCAGGTTACGCAGTGGCGAATTCAAAGTGGGGGGGGGGGTAGGAGTGATGCCCCCCATCCCCAAAGCCTGCGTCAGCACTCCCCTCCCTCCTATTACAAATGAGCGGGACCACTGTGAGCATACATTAACAGTATATTATGCTATGACGGGGCTTTTGTGCTACCAAAAACAAGCCAAAACTCCCCCCCCCCCCCCCGTACTCTGCTCTGGTGTTACTTTAAGTGATCGCGCCCCCAAAATGAGTCGCTCGTTCCGCCACTGAGGTTAAGCCCACCTGCTGCAACATCACTACTACTAGATTGAATTTTGCCACCAAACTACGACTCTAGATTGTCTGTAATGGAAGGCAAACCAAACGGGACCTTGCATCAGGGCAGACTTGTACATCATAGATCGCTAGGGTATTTTAGATTACCGTACACAAATTTTCTCCGTGAAATGGTCTGTTTCTCATTATTAATTTTCTGCGCACTTTCCATCTTGGATTTTTGTTGTTATTTGCTCATGACATGTGGTGCCCGAGGATATTGACTTTGAAAGACCAGGAAGAGTTAAAAGAAATCGACAGATCTCACGTACCATAAAATTGATGTCATGCGAAGTATGCGGAGGTAAGGCGACTGTAGTGTAATATTTTTTTGTTTGGCGAAACATTACGATACGGCACTAAACATCTGTACAAATGTTATACGTACTGACACGTATGTTGAACAGTCACGCATGTTTTAGGTAACAAATTTACAATTTACATTTGCGTAACAATGCCAACAGCAACATGGGTATGGCCAGAAGCGGTAAACTGAAATGTAGCGCTTGTGGCTGCGAGGATGGTAGCCCTGGATGGTGCTACGTAGACCAAATCCAATGGGTGGTGCTTAACTACAATGGACGCGAATACGACGTGGAGCCTGTATCATTTGAGTGCATATGCAATGCTTATAAATTAGATGGACAGCAATGTAACCACTATTGTCGTTTGACCAACGTTACGCCTATACATAAGGTTCTTTTCAAAAGCAGTTCCGAGGTGTGGTGCGGATCTGCAGTAGAATACTTGATTTCCACGCAGAATGCTTGAGTTCAATTCCTGCTGGGACCATAAAAGTTATTCTTTACATTCCTTGGGCCAACGCTGCCGATATTGATATTTCTTGACACCCTCGCATTTTAATTGCCCATGTCTGTTCTCACCATTCCTCGGTGTAAAGTGTCGACAACTGTGTGGCGCATACCGGTATGCGCTTGGTATACTGGTATGTGCAGCAGGTGTCTGGACGAATGGATTTGGTGTCCTACGTGATGAAACGTTCACATTATTCATGCAAAAACCAGACTCTCGTAATCCCCAAACCCTGCTACCCTTTCTTACTAATTTTGGTCTATACACCAAGCTAAGGAGATGATCTGACAGCACGTTTACATGGACGACCAGATAGATAGGTATATAGATAAATACATATATGGAAAGGCTCAAAATGCCCACATCACACACAGAAATGTTTAACAGTTAAAAAGAATGCCAGTGATCTTAGCTTTTTTTATTTTTGTGTAGCAGCTTTTCTGTCATGGTTGAATGCATACAGCTTCCTATCCCCGATTGGGTCTTGTGCTTTTAAATGTGAAATCTTTTCATGCCGTTTGACCACAGAGAATCATAAGAAAGAAAGAAGCCCTTACGCGTGCCCACAAGACCGCGGAAAAGGCGCTTTGAAATAACTCTATTTTGTTTCTTTTATATATCGGTAGTAAGGCTAATCTGTAATCGAAGGTCAAAAAGGTTGAAATTCGTATGAGGCACACTGCAGTGGTGGACTCCGGATTCATTTGAAACATTTGTGAAGTCTTTTCGCACATGCATCCTATATCCAAGTACACTTAGCGTTTTGCGTTTCACCCCAATCGAAAAGCACAAGAACGATTGATTCATACACTATCTGAAACATAAATTAGGATTAGAATAACAGAAACTCTGAACACATAAAAAAACTATAGTTTATTTGCAGGAGATTCATAACTTCGCGTTTTGATGCACACAGTCTATATGTAACACTCAGAGAAACAGTTCATAAAAAAAAGCAGACCTACTGTTTCATCGATATCTTACAGTATGCACAATGAACAGTGAAGATTACACGATGTAGGCATCTTCACCCGCGGTACCACCAGGTATTCACCTTTGAAGTCTGAATGTTTCAAGAGGAATTGCGCAGCTTTTTCTGCTGCCATCATCTCGCTGTAAATAGGCACTTGTGAGTTGTATCACATGAGACAAAAAAGACAGTTGAAGCACATAGCAAATAAGTGAAAGAGAGAAACTTTGTTAAACAAGCGCGCAATTCGTATACTCACAGAAACGCTCGTTAAATAGTGTGAGCGATGGCTTTTCCACGCCATTTCACAGCCTCTGCGTACTTGAAACACTGACAGGGTGAAAATGTAATGTTTCAGTTCACACTACAAAAGGAAGATGGAAATTAGTGGATGACTAGTAATGGATAACTAAATGGGCACGATTCTAGCTCTTTCCTGTAATACCATGGTCAGGACGATGACGCTATTTACAATGTGATTTGCTTTTTGGTACAGTTTCGTTTGATTGCGATTTGACGGAAACAAAGACCGTCTTTACTTTCAGACTGAGATTAGACCATTGTGGGAAGTCTAGCGACCATTGGGAACTTCAAGAAAATTAATATTAGGTAGAAGATACATTCGCGAATATGGTGTGGTGGCAGTGTTGCCAAAAGAGAGCGTGGCTGCAACAGAAGGTGATGCACGCCTGAGAAGAAATTGGAAGCATACTCCACAGCATGTCAAAACAAATATATAATCCTACGCACATTTCAGAGGTGGTTGTAAATAAATCATCCGGACATAGCTGCAAAATAAAAAAAAAGCGCCAAAAGTGAAACAGGATAATTTCGTAATACAGTAGTGAGAGCACAACCACTGCAAACAATTACTGTTGCGCGAAGCAGAATAAACAGTTAACGAAAAAGCAACAATAGCATTGTTGACATTACCAAATTTTCAGAAGCATGATATGTTGCAACGTCATTTATTAACTCGCCGCCTAGTGAGATTCGCACAGCCGTATGACTGCATTAAAACTTCAGCGCAGGAATGCTCAGCCATGCACTGCTAACTGAAATTACAGAAATTATTCGTATAGCCGACGAGCTGTGTGATTACTGTAACACAGTTATCCGGAGCTTACTTTTAGCTGTCAAGTGAATTGTCATGTGCCATTGATACTGCTTCTTGCCTGACAGATCTGATATTGTTTCTTCATGTCTACAGCTGAAATATTAAAATACTGGGATCTTCCCCCGAGGTTTAAAACATGGTACGCCTTTATCATAAAAAAATTGTTTGTGCTGTAGAACATAAGCCAGACGAAATCTGTGGTTTTCTGTGCATATTGTTTGTCTTTTATGTATAAGATGCATGTAAAAATCACATAAGCTTTGTAACCTGGTCACGTGGTTGTCTGTTTGATTACTAGTTTCATTAGATAAAACACATGTTTTGCATAAGCAAAATAGAGACGAAATATATGAAGCACTAATTTTCATTATATTCAAGCAGTTTACTGTTATAATCAAAGAAGGCTTAGAATTTCATTCGTGAAAATGGTTCGTAAATATTATTTGCAATGCACAAGCTTATTCAACTTACTTTTAAACGTAGATGCTGTAAAATGGTAGTAAAATGACAAGAGTTGGCACAAAACAGCTAGGAATTGATAATGAATAAAAAGCTCAAATACGAAGCAGAACACCTTATTGCATTGTGCTAACACTTCGCTCTTGCTGAACAAGATTAACAAAAGTTTTCGCTTTGTTGTTTGTATGAACGCTACATTGTGGACTGCACTCATCAGCCAGAATGGCTGTACCACATGACTAATTTTTGTCAGCTAAGCAGCGAAAAACTACAGAACATAGTGCAGTAGTATACAAATGTTGAAATATGTGTACAGTTAAATTACAGCTCGCTTACTTGAGGACAGAACAAAAACATGGAAATCGGGGAATGCAAACTATCAGCATTACGACAAAGAATGAGAGACAATTGCAAGGACAGAAAAAAAACATTTTGATGAGTATGTAATGACCAACGATGTGATTGTATAAATATACACAGAGAATATTCGTTATTAAACATTTTCTTTTACATAAAACATCGCGAAGTATATATTTATGTACAATGAAAGATAATTGACTAGCTGTGTCACCATGCACACAAAACGACCTGCAGGGCAGTCGTGAGAAAGGGTCACACAATCGCACTGTAAGCAAGGCACAAGTACTTGAGCACATCCAAGGTGCAGAAAACTGCGGTTGTGTTGTTTGTATAATAGTTTGGGAAAACGCCTGAATGCACCAGGGGTGATAATAATAGTGGAGACCGAGTGCATAAGAAAAATTAGAAGGTGTACGAAATTCATACCAGCTGCCCCAATGACACCTTCGCATTCTAGGAATAATTATACTGCGGTCTTTTAGAATTGGACATTTGCTGTTTCTTTCATCAATGGCTTTCTACGTGCTTTCAACACAGTGAATTAGTCCACGTGTTTTCATGCAGTGCATCGAAAAGGGAGCAATGAATTTGAAGATGTCTTCACATTTTTGAATTTTCAGCCGGCAGTTCTGTGCAGCTTGGATGTGAACAGAGAGCACTTGGCCCCATTCATCCGATGTTGAACCACTCGAGCATATTCACATGCCTCCGCACGATGTTCGCCTAGAAACTATTCTAGTCCACCATGGGCGATAAGAAAAAAAAAGTGGCATCCCGCACATATTTGAGAGCACCTCTTCCTCTCGCACGTCTCTTGTTCAGAGCGGTCATCAGATGGCGCAGGCCTTGAGATTCCGGTGGAGTTTGCCGGGCAGCCAACTTTGCGAGGACTCCTTCGTCGTTCGTCGCGGCGTCATACGCGTCGCACTTGTGGTGACACTGGTCTAGTTGAGCATCGCATCTTATCCCGATGAAGGAGCGCCGCACGTTCCCATAGTGGGCCTTCTGAAAAGTCCAAAGAGTAATTGGACACACTGAGCTCATTTTGCAACAGCGCAAGTGAAACTTTGTTTTTGCAGTGTCAAAGTGTAGCTCAGTAATAATCGCACCCATATCATCGTCATCACCCAAAACAGCGATGGCGGCGATCCTAACTTTGTCTTTGTTTTTTGTGGATGATATGTGAAGTGACTCTGTGGACGTAAGTTTGGCACAAGATGGCCTACTTCCCACTTGTTGCATCATTTAGCCGACGGTGGCTTGGAAACAGCGATGATGTATTCGCAAAAGTTATAATGGCAATAAATAGCAGAAGCCTACATGCTGATGTTTCTTTTTACTCGTGAGGTGACGTCCGCTTTTTTTTCTATGGTAGATAAAACCGTAATGCGCATGGCTCAGCTCTAATCCGATGATTTATGCGAAAAACATAGTGCTATTTTTTGAGGTAACTGAACTTGTTAAGTGCGTGAAATGATTTTCGTGACGACAAAGGAGCTACCCACGAGCCAACATTAAATACTACGCTGCTGTGGAGTTCACGTCAATGAAACCTTAACAGCTATTTGGAAATTACTGCTTTATACCCTATACCTGCAATTTAGATACTCAAGGTCACGTGGTTTATTCTTACATTAGGTCATGGTATTTCGCATTATTGTCAATGACATCCGCAGGTGACCATTTCTTTCGCAGGAGAGAGTGGGGAATTATAATTATTACACCAAATGAGAAAGTTACAAAGGCTCACCTTGAATAGATGGCCCAGTGCTGATGAGTGTTTAAATATTACATACTGTGCTAGGCACTGTATAAAATCTAGTGTTGCTGAAGTAACTCGAAGAAAAATGCGCTTGCTTAGAGATAAAGAAGCTGTACATTAAACGGGTCTTCAAACCCTTCATCGATCAGATATGCATGGCAATGCATTTTGAACCTTAATATCTTGTCTGCTTCTCAACTGTGGAGAATGGGGTCCTCGAAGCCTACGCCAGTTACGATCATTTCGTCTACGGGGTATGTCTCCCATAACCCATGAGCCACTTTATATCTGAGTTGATTGTACCCTGAAATACATATAAGCAGTAAAAAAATGTATGTCACTAGGTGTCGCATTAGTGATAATCTAAGAGAGTGAAGGATGAGAAAACGGGAGGAAGCATTGTCTGGAGGATGGAAGAGATACACGAGAGGTGGTGCGGAATGCGACGGCTTTCCGAAGTAAACTTGCAGGCTGTAGAGCAATTACAATTACGTGGTTAAAAGCTATTTTTCTCATTGCGAAATCGTTTGCATGGGCATAAGACGCATTTTTGCCGTGGCCGTCACCGTCATGTTCCGTGTAAAGTCCAAGTCCATGACAATGCCTCCCACAATCCACACGAGTCAACGATTGCGAAGGTTGTCGACGGGTGCGGATAAAGCGGAGAGGAAACTTGCCGGCTGACTCATTTGGGTGAAAAATCATGAAGTATTGCTGATGCACGGGGAAGTGGGGTGCGGGGAGGAGGAGGTCTGCGCTACTCAGGGCAAAAACTTAGTACATACAACCTATCTCAGTGCAGTCCATCAGTCTGCTCATACCTTTACATGTGCTGCGGCCTTATTACTTCGCGTTGAAGAACCGACAGCAGAGAAATGGCTTCGCCTGATGGAGCGGCCGTAATCTGCCACGCCAGCATTTTGTAGAGTTACACCAGAGTGGATCCCAAAGGAGTTAGCTGCCATACCTATTCAGTATAACATTCGAAATTAGTTTGTTCCATTCATTGTTTCACCCTTTCAGTGCAGCTGTGTTTTTTAGAGGCGAAGCAGCTCAGGGTCGAGCTCAATCCGGTGTGTGGCGTGACCACACTTACATCGCATGCGCGTCTCCTACGCCTATCTCTCCCCTCCTACGCTCCCCCTCTCTCACCTCGCAATGCCGACGCAGGCAGCGTCAGCTAGCCAACGCTCGCTCTTCCTTCTATCCTCTAGGCATCCCTCTACGCAGCGTTCACACCCCTACAGCGCATGCGTGTCTCCCCCCCCTTTGTCGCCTCACAACGCCGACGCAAGCAGCGTATGCTTGCGAGTTTCTTGATTGAAAAAAGCTCACTGCTTTTGCTGCACAACCATTCACTAGACTCCTCGTATCCAAGGTAGTTCTGATGGGAGATGTCTCCTGTGCGTTGTTGAAAAATAAAAAATGCCACCCCCCCTCCCCGAAGGAAATTGTGGGGAAACGCGACTGCCGTCCTTGCGCCGAGAGAGCGTACCGCTGCCGTCAGGCATTTGCCTTCAGTGACTTCTACCATTGCCTTGAGAGGCGCCCAGCCAGTGAACGGTCTAGAGTTAGGAGCGAGTGGATGGGGGAGTGGAGCACCAGTGTTATCGGCTTGGCGTCGGCGTTTCATAGTGGTTTCTCGAGCACACATTTCCGGGTGCTCTTGAAAGGCACCCAGCCATCAAACAGTTGAGAGTGAGGAGGGAGTGGATGGGAGAGTGGGGCGCAGGGAGGAGAGATAGCGAACGGCGAGAGAAGGAGCGGTGAAACACTGTACCTATCCCCTCGTACACTCTTTCGCACCACATGCTCCGGTCGCTAAGGGCGAGGATAAGCGCGCATGCCCGCAGCTGTTGCTATGGGAGAGGAACTCGGAGCGGAGAGATAACACCTGCCGTCGGGCGGACACCGCCGCGGACAACGCCGGATGCCGGGCAGAGCCCGATAAGCAATACAGTCGCATTGAAAATTCGCAGAATACGCGTTTACCAAACGCGGACTGCAGGTCTCTGTGTACAGTCGGAGTCTTCTTTCTCTCATTTCCCATTAGCAGCGATTGGCATGTTCCAGTAGGAAACACTGGTCCATCACGCGCACTAGCCGACACTAGCGCGCGACGGCTACAAGCCAAAACGAAGGCGTGAGTTGACGTGAGTGCAGGCCGGAGAACACCTTGTAGTGTAAGCCTAAAATAGCCGCCTCCGCCGCCTTGTCCGATCAATACACGGCCGTGATGGCACTTCTTGTGACTGCGATGGAATTGCTGGACTCGAGCAGCGACGACGATTCCGTCAGCGGTGCCGTTTGCAGTGACTGCGACGATGAGTACGACGATGCGTGCATCTTGGTCGCGTGCGCGGTTGGTGCGCGACGATGCCAACCGTGTACCCGGGTACGAAAGCATTATCGGCAGGTACCATGAGTATGAATTCAAGCGCCTCTTCAGGCTGTCCAGGGAGACTTTTGATAGTTTCAGGGCCAAGTTCAAGACTTCAGCCTTCTACCCAAGGGCAGTGCAAGGCCGCCAACAAATCAGTGCCGAAAAAACATGCCTCATAGCGCTTGTGTACCTAGGCTCACAAATATCTATGTACGCCATAGGCGACAATTCGATGTTACCGAGTCGTCTGTTCATGTTTGTGTGACACGGGTCGTTCACTTCTTACACGCTATTAGCGATGAGATAATTTGCTGGCCTAGTAGCGCGGAAGTGACCCGCATAAAGAACGGCTTCCTCGCCAAAAGTAAAGGCAAGGGCCCAAGAAACACCATCGGCTGTATCGATGGATCACACATCGGGATACTCACTCCAAGCGAATCTACGCAGTCTTACTCAACCGGAAAAAGTGGCCTTCGATAATCCTGCAAGGAATCTGCGACGACAGGAACAAGTTGCTGAACGTGTTTATTGGGTTTCCAGGTTCGGTTCACGACGCCCGTGTCCTGAGGGAGAGCCCCTTCTTTGCACGCGCAATTCAGGAATGTGAAGACAATTATATACTGGGTGACAGTGCATATCCACTGATGCCATGGCTCATGACCCCATTCAAGGACAATGGAAGTTCTTTTCCTACGTGGAAAAAGAGCTTCAATAAACGACACAGTCAACAACGAGTGCTTATTGAGAACACCTTCGGCCTGCTTAAACAGCGTTTAGGAGGCTCTACCTTGTTGATGCAAAAAGTGTGCAACAGTGCTGCTATATAGTTATGGCTGCGTGTGTGCTACACAACATGTGCAACGATGAAAGGGACTTCCTTGAGGAACTTGCAACGCTTCCCCAAGAAGAAGATGTGGGCAATGATGAAAGTGAAGGAGATTTTGATTGCAGTCTGCCAGGCTACAGTCAGTCTCTGCGAGAGTTCATTGCAAAGGAACAGTGCTAGAAGTTCATCTTTGCTTCGCGATTTATTCAGTGTGCAAATGTTTTGCGAAGTGGGGTGCCGCGTCTAGAAGCAATGTTTTTTTAACAAATTAGATGGAGTAGACACTGCTAGTGTTATAAAAGTTTATTGCCCATATTATAACCCGTCCTTAATTTGAGAGTACGTCGATCAACCGATCGAATCGCTGCATGCGCTCATCATGCCGCTTTGCCTTTGCCTCTTCCCATTTTTTTCTTTCCTCCAGTTGTTTCACTGCTGCCTCCTCTTGCTTAGCTCTTCGAAGCTTGCATTTTTTCTAATGCCTCCAAGAGCGGCGTGACTTGGGACCTACTCTGGCGCTTCCTTTTTGGCGTTGTGCTGCTCCGAACTTTGGATGCTGTGTTGCAGTCGACTGGGACTGCTGCATCTTGAGGTGCTTCAGTGATGCTGGTGCTGTTGAAAGTAATTGTACAGGTGCCATGTCATTTCCAGGCTACAGCACAAATTAAGTAATTTTTACTTACTCTGGACTTGCACTAGGCAGGATTGTTTTTCCAGGCTCCAAGAGCAGCCTTGGATTTACACTATGTTCTTTTTCCAAGACTTCTGCCAGCTCTCTGTAATAGACACTATGAGAATCACTGAAGATATGAAGACACAATCGTAACTTACTCTTCATATTCACAGTTCACACGGTGGTGACCTGAAGAATTGTTGTCTTTTTTTGACTTTTATATGCTCTGTCCAGCGACTTCCATTTGTTTTCCACTTGTGTGGCAGTCACGTTGCACAAGAACTCCGTATTGATGGCCTCAGCCAACTTCTTCCACAGAAGCCTTCTTGTGCTAAACAAAAAAGCAAAGCACAGTTAGTAGGAAAGAAGGGAAGCGACGTAACGTGACCCAAGTCTTGCAGTAGCACATGAACCTTTCCTTAGTACTTCATATGTGTAGCTTTCAGGGATAATTGCTAGGGATGTTCGATTATTCGAAAATTTTGGATAATGAATCAAACAGCACTGTATCGGTTCCTAAGTCGAATCGAATTGCACATATTCTAAGTAACAAATATTCTTTTAATAATCGGCACTGGCGGGAGAACCCCAAACAACGAAACAGCTACAAGTCATTCTTTCAATCCCTAATGTGACCTGTACGCAGCCCAAGCTTTTGCAAGACTACCTACACTATATTGATTGTCGAATGAATGCGCTTCTGAAAGCTCCATTCTTGCTCAATTTTTACTGCACTTTAGCTGTATCGCATTTATCAGCTCCTGTCTTCGTCTTGTAATAACCAAAGGTGGGAACTACGAGTGCTTGCAGCTTCACGACTAGCAACAGATACAAGTTTTTGCGTTTGCGTAAATTGTTCTTGCAGATGTAAATTTCAACGCCCATTGTTATCCGCTTTTAGTGCGCAGGCCATGTTGTGATGACGGGTTGATCTGCTCCGTTACATATTTAGTTGTATCTGCAATGTTTGGTTGTAAATTGTTTTGTTTTTGTGTCCCAATTTTATTTAAAGTGAGGTGACAAAGTCTCACGTTGATAACGCTAGTCAATGCCGTAGTTGAACCTACAATTACAAAATGTTACGAATATTCTAGTTCCTGCTGCATACGAGATTACCTTAGTTTTCGTAATTGTGGTATTTTGAGTAGATTCAAACTGACTGTAATGGCCTTTGTCGAAAGTTTGTGACTATTTGTTTCAAATAAAATGTTCTGTTCTAAGGCTGTTTTGAAAATGGTCTACTTACTATTCAAACAGTATTCAATTACTATTTGTATTCTATTTGGTGCCATTACTATTTGACTCTTACTTGATTAGGTTCCGAAATTCACTATTCACACACTTCTGATAACTGCGAACGTTCTTTTGTGCGGGAAGCATTATGTTGGAGAAGTTGAACATTGTGTAAATCACTCTTTTGGATCATAAAGCTTCACTAAGGAGACAGCCATATTCTAACCTGTCTTTGCATTGTAAAACATGCAGCTGCGCAACCTTGTTTGCTGACACGACGGCGCAGTCTAGGTTCAAAGATAGGGTAGCACGTGTCAAGAAGCATATCTCTTTTAACAATGAGCTGCACCATCTTGAAAAGTGGCAGTGCGAGAGAAATGCGGACAGACAGTGAAGACACAAGGACTGCAGGGCGAGACTTGCTAGAGATGTGCCTCAGAATAACAACATGCAATTCCCTCTAGTGCAAATTCTCAAGGCAGCACTACACTTGCAACATGGCTTGAGCTTGGAGGTGCTGCACCTTTTCGGCAAGACAGCGGTTGTGCAATGCCCAACACAAAAGCACCGTCGCTGTTTTTGAAGATCACTTGACTTAATGAAACATTACGAATGCCTTCGTTGTGTATATATGTGCGTGACTATACATACTGTTTGTGTGTATATGTAAACGTATATGTCACAGTCAGGCGCATAGCCAAAATTTTTTTTCAGTGGGGGGGGGCAGTAAAATGTAAATTGCTGGCAGTAAAATGTAGGCAACAATAACCATCGCCATTGTGAACTTCATGCGCCCTTATCTTGTTGGTGCTTGCCTAGAGTGAAACGGAATAATAAAAAGCTGCAAATAATTTTGGACATAGGATGACATACCGAAGTGCCCTGGTTTTTCCCACCAAGTCCTTCATTTCCGAGTATTTGGCGATGAAGAACCTTGTTTTTCGGGCGCTCCAAAGCTCTTCCACATCTTCAGCCGACGCGGCTGCTGCTGGAAATGCGGCTAAAGCCCCATCGCTGTCAACGTCGCCGTCGCAGGCAGGAGAAGGCGTCGGCGGTTGTGCCGGAGGGGGGTCATTTTCACGATTCCCTGCCATGAACCGCAACGTAACGCGCTTGCCGTCTGCAAGGGCGAAAACCAAGATTAAAAATACCGACATAGCATAAGCAATGCTACGAGGCTGTTTGCTGACCGACTACGACTCCTGGCCGCTAACCACGTTTTTTGGCAATGCATGCAGCCTGACTTACCTGATGCCTCATAGACGTAACCGTTGGCGTCCGTCATAAATGACCCGTCGGGATTGTGAAGTGCCTTAACTTCCTTTTGAACGCCCTGAACAACTATTTGCAACGTCGTCTGCTCTGGCCTTGGGGGGACGCCCGCCATGCTGCACTACTCTGCACCTGCTTTGGAGTGCGTGCACGCCGGTACAGAACTCGTCAGGAACTAGGCTTACACCTAGACAAAACGAGGGAGCCAGTGCAGAGGGTGCGACAGAGGGCGCGCGCTGCTCCGGCAAAACGAGGACGAAGGTGCTGCACCCTTTGAACTGGTTCAGCCGGTGCAGCCAAAACGAAGAGACCATTAGAGCGGAGAGATAACACCTGCCGTCGCGCGGACACCGCCGCAGACAACGCCGGATGCCTGGCATAGCCCGATAAGAATTACAGTCGCATTGAAAATTCGCAGAATGCGCGTTTACCAAACGCGGACTGCAGGCCTCTGTGTACAGTCGGAGTCTTCTTTCTCTCATTTCCCATTAGCAGCGATTGGCATGTTCCAGTAGGTAACACTGGTCCATCACTGCGTGTTTGAGCCTCCCCAGTTTTTCTCCTGCGCAACGCCACGATGAGCGCTGTAGTGTCAACGTCACTGCCAGTGTAAGCGTTAGGCCTGCTGCTTCGCATCTACACATGATTTCCCTTAAGCGGGAGATAGTGTAACTTTTTGTCTATATCTTAACGCTAATTGAGACGCAAACTTGTTTCATTTTGTCGTCCGAAAGCCTGGCCTGCTTCATCGTCATCTCACCTCTCGGACTCCCGTTTATGTGGTAGGGAACTGTCGATATACTCACCCAAAGGGGGCATGTATACACGTACCAGTAGAATGTCGAGTCCCTGGGTTGTGCAGCCATGTGCCGCTAGACTGTGCTCTCCCTGCGGTTGGCCATCAGCGGCGTCTCGCAGCTACTGCCGCCTTCGTCCTCGAGTTCCTCGCCCGTGAGACCCAGGTTTCCCGGCACGGGTCGCAGCGTTCGGTGGAAGTCGATGCGTGCGTACTCCGTCGGTGGCTCCGGCAGCTGCGGTATGGTGCCGCCATTGTGCGCCCCCGAGGAAGCGGCGGCGGCCGCACGGCGTAGCGTGCTTCCCTGTTGCACGGGCAGGACGGCCACGGCCTTGGGGAACGACAGCTCGGCGTACGTAACCTCGCCCCCACCGCTGCCACAGACGTCCTGCTGTTGAGAAGACCAAAAGACGAGCGATTTGAAAACGTGTGCGTGCACAGCCGTCCCGTGTACCTGTATCAGCTAACGTAATATCACGAACTGGAGATTTTTATTTGACGCGGTGTTTGAAGAGGTTAGGGACCGGATACATAAGACGGTACTATACTATTAGAGCGAACTCGGCTTTTGAGTTGCCATACAATCTACAATCTCTCGGTGGCAGTAATGTATACGCTGCTGACAAAACGCCTAAAGGAGCCATCCGTTAAATATGTCAATGGCGCCCGCTCTAACGGAAGACATATACTTTGTATCCCTTTTACGGGATGTTGACAGTGTTGTTCCACTTGACATCCCCATGAACTAGCTATGGCTTTTCAACTTCCCAGTCTGCTGAGTGAAGAATGCCCAATATCAGCATTCACAGATGGTAATGTGCTGTCCTCAATAAGTAATTGTGCCGAGCGATCGATAATGTGCCAGCACCACAACTGACGTTTAGCAGTGAAAACGGAACAAAGCCAAACCGTATAAGTGTTGGTAATCGCGTGCATTACGTAGCCTTAAAATGTTGCGTTTCAATTCGTCAGCCCTGAACGGTGCCGATTACACTTAACGGTGAGAAGTCGATTGACCCTTTCATTTACATAACTGATTGATTGGCTTATTATTGGTTTAGGGCGTCTAATTTTCTAAAGCGACTCGGGCTATGTAAGCCTCTGTTGAGGAGGGCTACTGTGGATTCCCACCATTTGAGGTTCTTGAACGTGCGTTGACATCATATCGTGTACATGGATCTTCCGCATTTCGCCTCCACCGAAATAATATCGAGGTGAAATACACGCCTTTCCGGTCTACAGCCGATCACCATAACTCTGCGGTTTATATCGCTTCCAATGCCCACCCACAAATTGCCTAGAGACTTAACGTTTTTATCTTTCTGACGTCCTCACCTTCTTCGGCGAAGCTGTTCTATGGTTTCCTAAGCTTTCTAGACTTTCCTTCAGTGGCAGTTGGGCAGTGTAGGCGTCCATTCCCGATGCCAGGGCAACCATTTTCTCGTGAGCCGCATCGTAGCCAGAGAAAACTGAAACGCAGATCAAACAAAAGTTTGATGTGAATCAATCAACCTTCGTTCGGTAGCGGAATATTTTATTTTCACTTATTCGCGGGATTTTTTCGGCAGCTTGCACGTACTTAACAAGCTCTCTATTTTATGGACGGTTCAGCTCAATCACGGCTCATTCTGAGTGCGTGCTTATAAAAAAAAAGTCCAATGTGAACACTATTGCAGTAGGCATAACATTCAACGTTCATAAACATCGATCAAATGAAGTACAGCACCCCTTCACACAAAGTAGCCGGATTCGTTTAATGTGGCACTAATTTAGGAGGTGTAATCAACTTTGATTATTCATAATGATTTATATGCGCCCGCTTGCTATTGTCGGTGCGTGTAGCACTGACATTTTATAACAAAAGATTACAGCGAACACTTCTATAATGCTTTCTTTACACTTCTTCGAGTATTTTGTTTTGCTACATCCAAACAATTTGTTCAGGGTGCAGTGTCCTAAATATGGCTTTCATTAAATTCCTGTAATAATGCATGTACACTCAGCCATGTCAGAACGAACAAATATTATCAGTTGATATTCTTGCAACATTCTAAATATTTTCAAAGCCTTCAAATAGAAATCAAAGCTCTCGTGGTTCCTTCAGACACATTTACAAAGACTGTTGTCAACTCAACTGTAAGACGAAGAACAGAAACGCAATATTCAGGACTCATTTTCTTAGAGACACACAATAATTATGAGAACTAGTAAACCAAGATTCCATGACGAGGAAAGTATAGGCGATATTCTTTGCAGTAACAACATCCTTGGCATCATTGTCTGTTAGTTTTAATTGATAACAGTAGAACGAGTCACTCTAATGGAAACATATAATCTCCGAAGCTTTGTTGCAGTAATGTGTGCTTCTCTTATTAGGCATTATCTGCCCACCATATGAAAACACACATTCTGTTGCTGTCTCTAATGCTGGAGTTTACAAGTACTTTACGGTTGTTTCACAATTGACACTGTGGAAGTACAAAGAGGGCTTCCTACTTAAATTTTTTTAACTATAGATCTTTCGACTGTAAGTTGCCTATCAGAAGTATCGACAATATTACGCATAGATTTGCGCGGTTTTTTTTTCACATGCCTCCGTATTCCTAAAAAAAAAATAAATGCGTGATTTTCTTTCCCGAACGAGTGCGCTATGACGAAACAAGCTGCGAAAGCGCCACTGCTATTGCGAACGTGGCGCAACCCCTCGGTGAAAGCATCAACTACAGCATTCAGCGTGTGTGGCGCCACGTTTGAAGCGAACAGCGGCAGCTCGTCAGAAATGTGACTGAGTCTCGGAAGCACAATAATTAGATATTTTGAGCGTTCCTTTTAGAATTGCCTATTCATTGGTGTAGTCAGATGCTGTTTAGTTGCAGGTATTTGACAAATGTAATGTCCGGACACGTTTGTGCGAGTTTGAGAAGCGTGTGCTCAGAAAAGTCGGAAAGCAGCAAGCTTAGTGGGCGTAGATTATCAACGTCATCAAAGCAGTAATACACTGACGCGTTTATGTAATCACTATTACCTAAAATAATATGACGCCGTTACTTAAATATCATCACGCCGCTCGCTGACCCGTCTCAGCGCTGCGCGCATATATTGCGTTGTAAGCGGGAAATGACGAAACACGTAGTCTTACCCGTAGTCGCAGGAATTATGTCAGGACCTTTTTCTTCCAAGTCGACGGACTCATCTGGGTCTTTCTTCAGCAAGGTCATAGACCTGTAACAATAAAATTATACGTTAGTGTACACACCTAATTGTCGTACGTGAAGTGAAAAAGACTACGCAGTGTACTACAAGATGGAATAGTTGGCTTTGAATGAATAAAAAATCATCACTTATCAGTAAAAAAGAAAACAAAAAAAAACAATTATAACAATCGTGCAATCTGTCACGGAGAAAAACCTCCATACCAAGAAGAAAAAGTCGCGAACTAAGGGTAATGTTATGTGATAGCAGGCAGGTATCAACAACGCAATTCCTCATCACTATAATCGGCCGAACAGTTTCACATTGTTACGAAGTTGATGGTGCTGTATTCCAAATAGCTCATGAGCAAGCAAGCTCCAAGGCCTATTGACATTGTAGCCGCTGTAATGTGCGTTCAAAGGAGATAGGAAAGAACGAATTTTTAAATCTTTAATACAGTTGCGCAAAAACTAAGCTCTTTTTTTCAAATGTTATCTTGCCTAATTGCACAATAATGCGTGGGCTACCAGTAATGGCTTCGAACTGTACTCCTAAATCTGTGCGCAACGAACTTTTTTTTTGTCAAGTTGATCTGACCACGCTAGTGATGCTAACGACCGTGCCCTGCGCTGTCATTCGAAGGAAATCCCTGCGCCCCGATTGTCCGGTATGTTTCGACGGCGTTCGGATGCCAGTAATTGCGTCATTACGGCGGAGTGACTTGAAGAGAGGCTGCCCACTAATGACGCTAGTTGCATCAGCTTTTCGGATGTTTCGCTATTGCTTAATTCGGTGCTTGTTATCGCGCCGGAACGGCGGCCGCAGGCAAATCGAAGCCTTTCAGAGATTGCGCCCGCTATAACGACGGTCAATTTTTCTCTGTCGGCCGGCCCATGGTAGATTAGAAGATATGTCGCTGCGCTGCCTTTAAGAAGGACGTCGTGGGTTCGAAGCTTTTCTACAGCGTCTTATTACGGCGCGTTCGTGAAAAGCAAGAATCCTCGTGTAATCAAGACCAAGGTTTTCAGTTAGGGAATTTCACCTTGTTAAAGTCAATCCACAGATCTCTGCTAAAGCTTGCCGTAGAATCATATGAAGGCTTGCGGATGAATTTCTCAAACTAAACTCTTCTGATATCGCGCATTTTGCGTCGAGTTTCACAGCTCGTTTCACAACGTGACCTGCGTTCTCTGGCGCGACAAAGAAATGCATGCAGCGTGATGACTTTGCGCTCCAATGTTCAGCGAAAAATGATCATTATCAGTGAAAGAAAATGAGTGCAACCTGCTATCACAGCTGAGTAGTCACATATTTAGGGGCGCACATGACAAGTCAAATGTTTCAGATAAGAAGAGTAAGGAGCGGTGTGAACGTATAGTATAACTTGACCCCCCTTATACTTTTCTGCTTTTAATAATAGTATCTCGTGTTTACGTCCCAAAAGCATGATATATTTATGAGAAAAGCCATGATGGAGGTCTCTGGAAATTGAGATCATTTCGTGTTTTTTTAACAAGCACTGACAAAGCACAGTATACTGGCCTTTACCATTTCACCCCCAGCGAAATGCGACCGCTATGGCCAGCATCAAACCCGCGACCTCCAGGTCAGAAGCCGAGCGCCTTAGCCACTGATCCAAAGTGGCGAACTGTTTTCATGTTTTCTAGGCGCAGCTTAAGGCTAAATAAAAATGTTAACAAATTCCAGAGAGTTGTCTAGAAAAGCGGTAGAGTTGAAAGCACCTATCTGAAAGTCGAGATGAAGAGGTGCATCGAACTATGATCGTTGCCATGTTAGCAACTAGTGCAGCTGTAGCATGCGTGATTTGGTATGTTTATGTCTCGGACTGGCCATTACAGGTTATCGTTTTCAAGACCGCTAAACTTTTTTTTTATTAGCTGGGTGTCTATAATATGTTACACAACTGCCTTCCCTGAAGCTACAATTGAATGTTGGGCACGTATCACTCGCGGCACGTTAAGAAACTTTATGCATATGCGATTTTAAGAAAAGGTACATCAAGTGAATGGGCCATGCTGCATACTAATCTCCCGGCCACAAACATATCTATTGTTGACCATCATGATTTCGATAAAATGTTCTGCGGGGAAGCTGGATTGCTTATAATCTAAATTTTAATCGATTTAAGTATAATTGTGCCAAAATAACTTTTGGATGAGAATGATCTTCAGTTCTTTAATGACTGGAGTTCGCAGTATCTTTCTTATTAAAATTTAAAGCCCACTTTTATTTAAAACTTTGCTGTACGGTCACAAGTTAACATGATCATTATCGTGCACGTTTGTGCACACACACGCAGTATGCTGGTTGGTTCAAATTTTTGTGGTAAGAGAAGTACTCACTTGTCCTCCATCTGCTCTTTCTCAGCCCCTGAAAAAAAAAGGCAACCTACAATAAACGTCTGTTATTCGACCTGCTGCTATCTATTCTAAAAATTTCCATAACCTTTAAAACAGCCGTGGAAGATATTTGAATGCCAGGTTTTTCGACAACACTTGATTATGATTTCGCTGCTGGCAATCAGAAAGATATGGGGCATCCTAAATAGAAGAAATTATTACGAATTTCCCTCCAAAAGAATTGAAGAACCGCAGGTTCAAAGAAAACTATCATTGTTCTAAAGTTACGTGGTAGTTCTACGAAGTCGGTTGATGCTTTGCTTCGTCTAATATATGCTGATGTTTCAAGCAAACGCAAAGCCTTCTTTAAGTTAAGAAAAATAATTTTGTGAAGTTTCACAATATCTTGCCTCGTAGAGTATAAAAAAAAACAGCTGCGTTTACATGCAATTTTGCGCGTTGTTTCCTAAAATCGAATAATTGAAAAACGAGATACATTTAAAATACCTTGAGCTAGCTTCACAACACTAAAATATTAAAGGGGAACAGTAGCTCTACCATGCACAGGCATGAAATGGGAAATACTATAGTATTGCAAACGTGAAGTAATGACGCACCTTTGCTTCTTCCGTGCTTCTTGCACCGTATAAAGATGATGACTACGACAGCGGCTATGACCAAAGCGATGACGACGCCAATGAGAACTCCTAAAAATGGCCTAATAACGATCATCCCTTGAACACCTGCTGTTGCAAAGACAACAATAGTGAAAACCGGGAAAAATGGAGTTAGTGGGGCAGAAGGTGCCACAGAAGTACAAGTTGAAGGCCCCGTCCTTTTGTCTCATTTCGTCGAGTGGCACGTTGAGTGCTCAACGACTTTACATAATAATTAATTTTCAAAACTTTAAAGCTAACTTTTGTGCTGTGCAGTATGAACAACTAACGGCGGCTATTCACTTACTCAACAGCCTGACAGCCTGTTCAAGCGCGAATTGCTTACGTTATGACGTGGAAAATGTTTAGTCGGCTCTCTTGATATAAGCACGCATAGCAGACAAGCCCCAGCACGTTCAACTAGGAACGCGTCACCGCTTGAATTACGATAGGTGCCGCCACCACATGGGTAAATAAGCAGCGCAGAGAGCAGCGCACTTGCACATAATGAAAAGGGTCCATAGGCAGAATAAAAGCGCCCAAATCAGCAGTTACTGTGAAAGGAGCCCAATCACTGTGCATATGTATGAAGAACGTGACACTAATTCAGAAACTTGCAACTAGGCTTGTGCAAATACTTCGAATGCTTCGAATATTCGAACGAATAAGTATTCGAAGTCGCTTCGATTCGAATTTAAATGATCGAATATTTCGAAGTATTCGATATGAACGAATAGATGTATATTAGTCTCCACGTAACGGCCTGTGAAGGTGGTTTCACTGCAGTGTAAAACGCTAAGTCGGGAAAGCATTGAAAAAAAAAAATGCTCTACCACGAGGCTTCACTTCAAATTTAAACGGGCCTTACAACACTTTTTGAGCATGTCAGCAAATGCTGCCGATCGGTAGTCGAGGCTACCGAGAACACGCGAGCTGAATATTATAGCATAACACGAGACCCGGAATTCTCGATAAATTCTCAGTCAGATAAAACTTGCTCTCTTCTTTCGGCAAATGACGCCACAATGTCAAAAATCATTCGTCACAGCCATTGTACCAGCCATTGGCTGATTTGAGCATGGGGCGCTCGGTCGTTACTAGGGCCACCACGGGGGGCTGCAACTTGTCCACGCATACATGCGCAATCGCACTGAAAGTCGCCTATTCAAAAACAAACAAAAGAGAAAATGCTCTAGGTCACTACGTGCACGTGACGTATTTTCTTTCTCCACGCCATCTCTCCCAGCTTTGCTTCAAGTACTTTCACCGATAAAAGAAGAAAGAACGCAGTTGCAGCATGTGGCGAATCGCAAAACTCTGCTTATACTGAAAAGATTCTAAATATTAATACGACGGTTAATTCGTGAGGCAATAAGCTTCTCAGTGAATCCATTCCATGGCAACTTGAAAAGCTGTTGAAAAGGCCCTTCAAACGAACACACGACCCTCAAATTGATTGATAATTTTGTAAGCTTGAAAGCTTGTTCTGCCAACCTATACACTCTAACTGTAATGAATATTGTTCCGTATTTTACAGGTTATCACTTGCATCCTACTGAAAGTCAAATCCTGCTACTTCCCACAGTTGTCTCTACTTCCCTTGAAAAAAAAAAAGACAGCACTTACACAGAGGTCTTACTTTAATTAGAATATTGTGCAGGTTAGTAAGGTTATGATATATATGCACATTTTTATTTCTACGTAATATATTTTACTAAAATTCGATTCGAAATTATTCGACCAAAACCTCTATTCGCTTCAAATTCGCTTTGAACCTAAAATTCATTATTCGCACAAGCTTACATGCAACAACATTCTGCGTACAAAACATGCTTAAGCATGAATAGGCGCTAAGCTTCTCTTAAAAAAATGTTTTTGAACACACGTGACCAAGTGTATACCGGTTAATGCAATGTCCTTAGTTTCATGACCTCATAATACTAAATCGAATTTTTTTTCAAAGAAAAATCACATCACAAATAAAAGTAATACAAGCAAAAGCATCGATTATCAAGAACCTTAGCCTTCGAACAGTCGTCGACATCTGATGAATCACGCATTTTGAGTTTTAGGATTAACGGTGCCTGTAGCAAGGGATGAAAATAATCTAAACTTACAATGACCTGATCGTAGTGTGACTGAAGTCTGACAGTACGACACGTTGTCATCTTCTGGATTAGTTTTCCTTCTTCGCATGTGGGTGAAGCCATATTTACAAACAAGCTGACAAAAAAAAAACAACAACGCTGTTGCTATAGGATTTATTCAGTGCTGTCTTTCACTCAAGGTTCTCCCAAATGCCATGAACACCGAAGATTTGCCTACCGGTGAACTTCTCCGCTGGCCTGAGCGTGTGGGCCATGAGCACATAGGGGGCGCTGCGACCTTTCCCGTTGGCGGCGTACACGAGCACGCGGAAGGTGGCGCCCCCTGGCAGGCCTCGCACCAGAAACGCCGCTCCCGCACCGGGTGGGTTCGTGATGTTGGCGCGCATGGTGCCCGAGTCGGCGTCGTACAGCTCGGCGATGAAGACGGGTGGCGCCATGCCGCCATCCCAGGGGCCCTCTATGCACTCCAGGGACATGCCGTCCTCGGTGGCGTTCACTTGCGAACAGTTGATTACCGAGTCCGGAGGCCCTGCGCATACGAAACAGCCGGGCGCGTTCTGTGACAATGAAGGCAGGGGCGAAAAAACAAAACTGAGAGGTTAGGACGAAAGATCGCGTGAATAAAGAACAACGTACGACTAATTAACCGCCGCGGAGGTTTCTTAGTCACGAGAGCGTTGCGCATTCTGACGGCTTGCGCAAATACTGGTTACGCAAAGAAGCGTAAAGGGCTGATTCGCAGGACTAATACCCGTGCCACACGGGCATAGAAAATGACATTTGGTGGCGAAGGCCTTCAGTTCCCGAATGACATTCGTTTCGCCGGCGCTGCTACACGTCCAAAGCGAATGACATTTGACTTGATGATGTCGATCACAGCACCTTCCAAGTGAGCATTGAGTGAATAGCAATAAAAAAATTAAGAAGCATTTACAAGCTTCATACACATCAGATAATCATCAAATGTAGAAATAAGCGTATTACGCTGTCCTAAGTTTTAGTTTCTTGCTTTGTTTTACAACGTTGCAGCCAACCGTAGCAACCTAAGCCAACACTAGTCAGATCCACAGCGTAAATAGACACTAAAATTGACAAGCGCTTCATTATCAATACTTTATTTTCTTCGTATAACGTTCAAAGCATCTTTTTAAGACTTTAGTGCAAATAAAAGACGGAAAATTTCATTTTTAGCTCAATATGATTTGTTTTATATACTTTCAGGTAAATCGCACTTCGCGAGCTGTGTCGTCGAGAGTAGGCATTTCCCAGTCAACTGAGTTCTGGCGAAGGCAGTTGGTGGCGAATGGCATTCGAATGGCATTCGGAAGAATGCCATTTTGTTCGCCCGTGTGGCACCGCGCGAATGGCAATAAATCTGAAGGCATTCGGGGGTAAATGCCATTTTTTCTGCCCGTGTGGCACGGGTATAACAGAAGTGGAGTGCAAGAACTTGCAACGGCAAAGTCTCATCGTGTGTCTTGAGTAGATATGTATACATTTTGACGAGTGACGTATAAATGCGTTATGCGAGTACAGGGAAGCTCGTTGCTAAGAAGGACCGCTACCAAGATTTGTCGTATTTGCTTGGGCAGAGGGTGCATATTTTTGTTATCAAGTTTCGCTGTATTCACGTTTGTTTTTGCCACAGTGCTTATTTATTGAAATAAAAAGGTCATGACACGTATACGATGATTGGAGTTGTACAAACAGTGTAATTATTCTTTGTTTCGAACAATGTACCTTGCTCGATACTTTATAGCGAGGTATTGAATAGCAGAAGAGTGTTAAGCACCAGCAGCTTGCACCTTTCCTACTCTTCATCATGATTTCATTCCTCTTCACAGGCCAAATGTAAGCTCGATGACAAAAAAGTATCTTGAACTCGGCTTCCTGTTTGATCGCATTGACATTCTAAGTTAGTGCTTTATATTGAGGGCAACGTAGAATGATTGTGTAATTATTTACGGGCAGCAGCATTGTCTGTAGGCTGACCCGCCGTGCTCCAGTTTCGGAAAGTGAGTGCTTATGCACTCCCTGCAGCCGTCGAAAAAACGCTAACTTAACTTCTACACATAGGGGTACTTGTTTGTGCCGTAGAAATTTTCGGCATCATTACCTTCGGCAGTAATATTCAACTTTTTATTACAAAATTCTAAGTGTCCAGCTCCATTTGGTTCTTGAAGTGATTGGGTGGGCTGTAATGCACTTCCACTTTCTATAAATGCTAGCTTTGTAATAATAATTGCTAGAAATGAACGTTCCAAAAGAGCGACATGATTATAAGAGGCGCCATGGTGGAGGGCTCCGGAAATTTCGACCAACTGGTGTTTAACGCGCACGTAACCCTAAGTACACGAGCCTCAAGCATTTTCACATCCATCCCGAATGCTGCCCCCGATGTCTGGATTCGACCCCGGGATCTGATATATGACAACTCTGTAACGACGGCGTTTAGCGTGATAATATTGTGTAGGCCCCGGAAAAATTTTCCTTCTTTCATACGCGTAGATTATTTATGTTATTTTAACTCTCTGTTCGTGAAGTATCGTAATGTGTGCAATCCCTTTGGCTGTCATGATTTTCAGGAGTGATATCAACGAACTGCGGGTGATAGCTGTTAATGAAGTAATATTACCCCGGTTTCGAGAAGTGGTTGAAACTTTCGTGGTTCCATTGAACTCTTCCTCAGAAGTGTACACAACAAGAATTTCATCACACTTAAGTTTTCACATCTTTGAAGACTTCACCACTGTACGGGTAGTACAGAAAATGACGCCTTGCCTATGCGCACCCTGACTGACCCCTTCCTTCATGCAGTGATTGATGCACGGGCAATTTTCGGACAAACTGACAAATATTCGTGTTCTTCACTGCACTGTAAGTCACGTGCGTTAAAAGGCATAGTAAGCTTTCAGGAGTAAGTGCAGTTTTGGTTACAAGATAGCCGAAGCACCACACACACACACACAAAAAAGAAAACATTGCATTCTATACGTCCTTGAGAAGTTAACCTGGGCATGACGGCAGAAGGATAGAATGACTTAAAGGGAGCAAGTCTTCGTAACAACACTGCAAAATCAACACTGCGTTCGAATACGTGTGGTGGCGCAGGCTGTGGCTCGAAGAGGGGAGAAAAAGAAAGAAAACAGCTCTGGAAAGTGTTTATGTAGAGGGAGGGAGGATTAGCTAAGCTCACTTAAAATGGCTCCGTGAAAGCCTGAACTTTTCATCACTTGCATTTAAGCGACGGCAGCGCCCGTTGAAACCTCGCAAATACAAAGGAAGGGAGCACCGTACACGAAATGGGAGGTGCGCGCTTTGCGAGAGACAAATCCTTCGCAGCCTTACACAGGTGCCACGTCCAGCGGTAGGCGCTGCAGCTGTATACGGGCGTACTTCACAATGCCCGCCACTACGCCTGCATTTGGACGGTGTTGCGCACCGTCATGCGCTCACAAAGGACGGCAAAGTGTGCCGCGACCCTTGTGGGGCTAAACGGGTGCTAAATTAACGCGCAGTATTTATATGGTGGCGCAGGCCCTGCAAACGACGCAGCGATTATACGGAAGTGCAGAAGAGGCCACTGCTTCGTCCAGCGCCTCTTTTGTGCTAGCCTACAGTGCACAAGTGCGGGTGCCTGTTTACCTAGGCCAAATAATGAAAATGCTAACTTCTTCGTATATGAAGAGTGAGGCTTACACGGTAGGGTGTAGTACGTAGAAGTCAACTTTTAGCTTCTCTTCGAAAGAGTAAGATGCAGAAAAGTTTTAGCAATATTGTGAATAACGCTTCAAGCATCGAGGGTTTTTATAGGGGGAACGCAAGCACTAACACTAAACACACATACACGCGAATATATTACTACATGCATGTTGAAATTTTGTGGGACGATGCGCGTGTGTGCCTCATGAAGAGGACGAAGAGTGGTCTCCGCTCGGTGTCTGGTCTACCGGTCACGTCGCTGCTGCTGCTGGTTTGAAATAAATTTAATCCACAGCCTCGTCGATACGGCGTCTCTCTTCCGTAACATATTTGGTGGAGTTGGAACGTTCCCTGTCCTCACAACGAAGCTTCGCAGTGGCCGCACCGTCCGGCCTCCGGTCATGGCCTATAATGATATCAATCCGTCACCACCATCTGCTGAAGCACCAGCTACTATGTACCTTGCGATTTCCCACCCCCGTGATCCCAGGTACGTTCTCCACCCAGCCTGGCCTTGACGTCGACTACTGGCTCCGCATGTACGAGCGCGTTAGCCTGTCTCATCCGATGGACCCTACCATGATGCTCGCCAACGTAATCTTTCACTTGGATGGCACCCCGAGTGTATGGTTCGACGCTCATGAGGCCGAGATCACCAGCTGGGACATCTTCAAGGAGTGACTACGCGACATCTTTGGGGACCCGTCCGGTCAACAAACGGCCGCAGGACAAGAACTCGCCACACGAGTACAGTCACCAACCGAGTCGTATGTCTCATACATACAGGACTGTGCTCGCAGTTGTGCCGCAAAGTGGACGAGCAAATGACCGAGAGTGACAAGGTGGGCTACATACTCAAGGGCATCGCAGGACGACGCTTTCAACTTGCTCGTCTACAACAACGTCACAACCGTCGATATCATAACTAAGGAATGCCACCGCTTCGAAATGGCCAAAAACCACCGAGTTCGGCCACAATTTTCACGGCTCTCTAACACGGCTGTCACGTCAACCTGTACCGATCTCGGTGCCGCACCACTCTTGCACCATAATGTCACACGCATCGTTCGGCGCGAGCTTGAGGCGGCCCGTCCGGCACCGTTTCATGCACTTCCACTCGACCAGCTGTGGAAACACCTCTGACGGTGTCAGTTATTCAGGCAGTCGTGCAGGAAGAAATTTTTAACCTTGGTTTTCCTGCCGCCTGCTCCGTCTTCCGACCGGATCACAGACCGATGCCAATAAATGCATCATGTCACAACCCATACTCTCTGCCCAGATCCCGCAATCCGACAGAATGGACAACAGCAGACGACAAGCCAATCTGCTTCCACTGTCACCGAGTTGGCCATGTCTCCCGTTACTGCCGCAGCACTTGGACGTCCCTCCGTTGGAGCCAATTTTCTTCTCCTCGGACATACGCGGACCCCCGTCGGTATTCTCCCAGCCGTGAGTATCCTGCTTCCGACGCACCTAACAGCCGCTCTACCGCTCGTTCACCGTCACCGCAACGCCGCCGCTCTCCGTCGCCCCAAACCCCACCGCTATCCATCGCCGACTAACTATGGATCTTTCCGGATAGAAAAATAGGTTATGCAGCTCCTAGAGGTAGTGCTGCATCAAGTGCGACTGACCCAAATCCTCCGTTGACGATACCTACTAGTAAGAACTTAATGTGGACGGTCTTTCTTTGACGGCTTTAGTTGACACTGGAGCTCAGGTGTCTATAATGAGTGCTCGTCTCTGTCGCCGCCTCAAGAAAGTACTTACGCCTGCCGCAACAAAAGCCATCCGTGTCACCGATGGTGAAACTGTGACCGTCATTGG